TCTGGTCAGGGTGACTAAGACATCTAATCTCTTTTGGTTTTCCTTTGACCTCTCTGACCACTCTACCTCTGTCTCTCTTACTGGCTCCTTATTTTCTGCATACAATCTAAATGTCATTGTTTTCATCATCTCTACCAGTTTCCTACACTACATGATCATTCTGGTTATTTTACGCACTCCCATGGCTTCAGTTAATCACCCATATATTTATGGCTACCAATCCTGTATCTTCAAATGCTTACCCAACTTTGTACTATATATCTTCAAGTTAATTTGTTTAAAAGCAATTCTCAGGGTGCCTGGGCGGCTCATTCAGTTAAATGTCCAACTTCGACTCAGGTCATGATCTTGTGGTTTAGGAGTTCAAGCCCCGCATCAGGCTTGCTGATGTTGCTGATGTTAGTGTGGATCCTGCTTTGGATCCTCTGTCTCCCTCTTTTTCTGTTCCTCCCCTGCTTGAGTTCTCTCTCTCAAAAAAATAACTAACCTTAAAAAAACCAAACAAACAAAAGCAACTCTCAACACCAACTCCATCCCTCTTCCAAGTCTTCTTCTCCTTACTATTCTGCATTTCAGCTAGGGTATCCTGAGCCACTCAGTCACCCAAGACACCAGTAGCCATTCTATCCTTCTCCCTCATCCATCAAGTAGACTCATTCAGCAAGTCTCTCACAGTCTAATACCCTATCACTTCTATCAGCTGGATCCGCATCTCTGTTTCCTCTGCTACTGCCTAAGTTGAGGTTTTAATTACTTCTCATCTGGATTACTCCAAATGTGCCCCTAACTGGTCTCATAATCTCTAGCTTCAAAACTCTCAGATTCAGTTTTCATTTTGTTTTCCAGAGTTCAAGTTGATTGTATCACTCCTCTGTTTGAAAACCCTCCAAAGGTTCCTCATTACCTACAGAACACAATGCCAACAACTCCATATGGCTCTTGAGGTTCTCTGTGACCTGGCTCTATCCCTCCCTGCTCCTCGAGCATCCTTCCCCTTCCCCTTCCCTTGCCTGGACTCCTGTTCCCCAGCTGGACAGAATAGCTTGCATACCAGGCCAGGCCACCTCTCCTTGACTTGTTCAGCTTGTCCCTTCTCCCTACTTTTCCTTCTGGTGGTTGTGAAGGTCTCTGTTCAAAATTTCTTTTAAAAAAAAGTTGCCTCTACTAGAAAGACAAGCCATTATTTCAGAATTTAAAGCTTGTCCACTTCGTAAAAAAAACTTGGCGCTTTACTGTAGAGAAAGAAAACCAGAAGTTGAAGGATAGCTGGAAGTTGCAGAAGACAGAGGTGTTCTCGCTTCCTGCCTTTGTCTGCAATGCAAACCTGTGAGAATGTGGAAGTTCCTGACAAATCATACGTGAGAACATGGAAATACAGAGATGGTGAAGTTAGAGGAAATTCAGGTACTGTCATTCTGGATAGTGTGAGTTATGGCCATTTCCCTTCAAAGGCACAAGAGGTTCATAATGGGTGCAGAATGGCCAAGGATCCTGGACTGGGGAGATGTCATCTCAAGCCATCACACATGTGGAGAACTTGGGGAAGGGGAACTGAGAGCTTTCTGATGTAGACATATACTTGAATGAATTGTGAATTGCTCTTTCTTCACCCTCTCCAGCTCCCCCAGAGAAACATAAAAGACACTTCTGGGAAGAGAAATTTTCAGGTGATTTGTCATGCTCTTCAGGCTCATGAAGGACCTTCTAAAATAGGTCAGGAGAGGCCCTTGTTTTAAAGGACCAAACAACACTACCAATAAGCAGGATTTAGATTTAGGATAGATATTAAGGTGAATACCCAGGGGAAGTGGATTGCTGAACAATGGACTAGACACCTGAGATAGACCTGAAAACCTGGAGACCAGGGTAAGGTTGTGTGACCTTTGGCAAATCGCCTCACTGTAGCTTATGGTTTAGCATTTAGCTATAATCTTTTATGATTCTGGCATTCTTCGTTATAGTCAAATGATACGCTTCGCTATTTAGCAAGCAACTTAAAACATCCTACCATAACACTTTTCCTAAGAACTAATAAATAATTGCTTATCTGGCAAATGTAGTTTTGGCTTCTCTACTTGTGCTAGTGTTATATATGTATGATGGACAGAATTGCAAAATCAAGTGCTAGTAAAAGAATAGTGGAACCAGACTTTAGTGGTCAAGAAGATAATTATCTCTATTATTAAAGATGGAAGCAAAATCAAAACCAAGAACAAAACAAAAAAACCCAAGGCTTAGCAATGTTCAACCATCTCATTAATGATGGTGCCAGGTTTTCTGTACATTATTCACTATTTCATATGAGAAACAACTTCAGATTGTGAAGTATATTTTCATATATAGACTAAAACACCCACTCACTGGGCCAAAATAATATTGCCAAAGGATTTTCAGATACTGAGATAGCTATATAGAAGCTGTATGTGTCAAAGTTTCTATAACAATACTTTGATGAATATTTTTATCCTTACCTAAAAAGCACAGGCCATCCCCAACTTTCACATATAATGTTTCTTTCCATGTTATTCTGTGACCAGCCATAGACTGAGATCAACCTAGGTATTTAATATCTACCTCCAAAAAGGTAGAACACAAGTAATCTTGGCTCAAATGCTTAACTATTTTCCACCATTGAGTTTTGACTTATAGTTAATTTTTTTGTGTGAGATAATTAGTTCCAATTTGCTTGTATCTAGAAAGAGTAAACTATGTGAAAGATAATGATTAACTTGCCTAAAAAAGAAGTTACCAGCCATAACCGATATTGGTAACTCATGCAACCTGGTGAAGAAAGGGGATGGTTTGGGCTGATGATGGAGTGGGAAATGTTTTGGAAGGAAGCAAATAAACTATTAGATTGATGAGAAACCCCAAGGGAGTGTATTTTATCTGGTTCAAAAGTTTCCTGAAGCAAATGACAGAACTGATTAGCGGAAGTATTTTTAATTAGCTGAGCTGAATCCAAAAGAAAAGAAGGAATACAAGTCCAAGTCAACAGAGGAAGTTTATTGGACTTTCTATTTAAAACAGATGTTTTATCAGAACTCTGATTAATTTCTGAATGTGATAATAATAGGAATGAATGCTTAAATAGTTTATTAAAATGAGAACCTGAAAAGTAAACAATATCTAGGCACTCTTATTTCTTCCTAAAAGGTCTAGGATATTTTTTTAGGTGAATAAATCACTCTGCAGACAGTGTGTTAAAGCTGGAGTTTGGTAGCTAGTGGAGAGGAAAAGCAGCACAGCCCTAAGCCTGTGCATTGCCCTTTAGGCAGAGCCCACAGGAAGTAGGGAACCATGAAACAAGGGAAACAGGTCATAGGCCACCCAAACCAAGCAAAATCCCTGAGGAAATGTTTTCTGTAGTAATTTGGTGTGCAGTTTCCTGAGGATGAAGCAGCCCTCCTTTGCAGAGGGTAAGTCCTGCTATAAATTGAACTTCTACTATCTTAGTCTTTGGAGTGTGAACTTAGAGGCTATCTATTAAAGTGATCTTGTCTCATTTACCAGAATAGACTTTTAAAATTCAGAGCTCAAGTGTCCCCTCACAGAGAATTTGGCAGAGTATAAACATATGTCCTGCTTGGGAGGAAGACATTGACTTCCCAGGGAGTACATCTTTCCTATTCCACAGACAAAGAGCTCTCCTGGGAAGAATCAAACTCACAATTTTTTGCAATGTTGCCACACTCTCACACTCAAGAGAGTCTCCTCCAAACTTCTCCCCAAATCCCATCTTGCATATACAACTTTAGATCTCAAGTCATTTGGCTGGCCAGTAGTTGGGATTACCACCCAAGGAGGATGAATAGTAAGATAAAGTATAATTAGGAAATGATAATGTTAAAACTTCCTTTCCATGGACATTAGCTAATAGCTGGTGGTTCATATTATGAATTCATGTTATTGTGAAACATCTTTTCACAATAATATCATAGTTACAAATAATGTATTAATGTGTTACCTGAAGCTGCTTAAGGAGGATACATCAAGATAACACTTGAAAGAAACATATAAAGGAAAGTGTCTGTAAGCACTCTTGGTAGACTGTTAATGTCAAAAATACATAAAAATCCAATGTCTTCATGTGTATATGCTGATTAAGATTTAGAGTTTTCTCTTTCTTACAATTAGAAAAGAAGGAAATGACGTTATTAACTGTTGGCACATCAGAAGACCCTAAATTTAAGTACTTTGCTATTTTGAGTTTGCAGTAGAGGTAGAAATTAACTATGGCCTTTAGTCTCAACCTGTCTATTATATGCTCTACAAATTACTGTCAGAAACATGGTATCTGTAGAAAGAGAAATGTTATGGGGCGCCTGGGTGGCTTAGTCGGTTAGGCGTCCGACTTTCGCTTAGGTCATGATCTCACGGTTCGTGGGTTTGAGCCCCGCGTCAGGCTCTGTGCTGACAGCCAGCTCAGAGCCTGGAGCCTGTTTCAGATTCTGTGTCTCCCCCTCTCTCTGACCCTCCCCTGCTCACGCTGTCTCTCTCTCTCTGCTAGAAATAAATAAAAATATTAAAAAAAAAAAAAAGAAAGAGAAAAGTTATTATAGAATTATACCTGATTTTACTCAGGTTACTTTATAAGCCCCAATTGACCTATATTTGGGTCTTATTCTGAGATGAAATGAAGATAAAGCAGGAAATGGAATAAGACTTGCTCACTGACTTTGTAACTTCAGTAAAATTTATACCATTATTTTACTGTACTGAACCATAAAAAAAGCCAGGGAGAGACTTGGAAACTCTGTCCTTTTTCGAAAAAACATAAATGATGGCATAATCCCTAAAGCAATTTTTTTTGGCTGACAATCAAGGACTCTGTATGCACCAGATAGTTTTGCTGTGTAATGAGTCACTTCAGAATCTATTGGCTTAAAGCGACATTTCTTTTTAAAGTTTATTTATTTATTTTGAGAGAGAGAAAGAGAGTATGTGGGAGGGACAGAGAGAGAGAGAGAGAGGGAGAAAAGCAACATTATTTCATCTCTCACAATTTTCTGTATCGGCAGGGTGATTATTTTCTGAGTCAGTTTACAGGTTTGGGGGAAACCTAGATAATAAGCAGACGTAGGTTTAATAAATATGTTTAGTAAGTTTCAATTAATAGAGCTTCTATTATATAGATCTTTTCGCACTAGCTCTAGAAACAAGATGAACTATGTCTTCACGTGTATAAAACAAAGTAACTTGTGCTTGATTGTATTCCTTTAAATAAAGCTTATGTATATAAAAATGAAATATCCTCTTTTATTCTTAAAGTAGAATAAAATAAACTGTTATTTAGCATTGTCAAGTATTTCTGAGATAGTCATTTTATAATGCAGTCTGATTAATAGCATTAGTGTATATAGCATGCAAGATTGCTAGTTTGCTAATTTAAATGTAATAATAAAATGTCATGGCCCAACCAAGACATAGTTTCTTCTATATATGGATCCATTTGCCAGATGCATTTTCACCAATTACTGAAAATTCTGAATTCTGAAAATTCTAATCTGAAAAGCTATTATTATGATGAGGATCACAAAATATTAAGATTAAGGCAAGTCTAGGAATTTTGAGGTTTGCCCACTCAAGGTGAGAGAAGGTATTGTAGTAACCTTGCAGTATTTGCACTGCAAGGGACCTTAGAGAGGATCTTAATACTCTCATTTTGTGGTGACGAAACAAAGACATGTCCGTTCTGAATCACATCTAGGATAAGAACAATCTTGGATTTCACTCTTTTAAATTTAATTTCTCTATATTTTCCTAAGGGAGGAAAATGGGCCAGATACTTTAATTATATTAGGGAGACTTGAGATCTATGTCTTTTCACTCTGAAAACTACTACAGAAATTTTAAAAAAGAAAAAGTGTTGAGTGGGAAACAGAATTTGAATCTTAGACCCTGACTTTTCACTGTATAATACTTTAATTAGTGTTTTTAGTTTTTGCCTGAAGATTTTGATATATTTTTGGCATTGAAAAAAATTAAAGCTAGAGCAATTTTCTAATGAGAAAAATGAGATGATTTTAAGGGTTTCTTGTATTGTGAAAAATCATATGTAGGTCTTAAAAACATTATAAAACCTTCATAGCTAAATATTATTAAGTATATAAAACTTATGGATTCATTTTACTTTGCTTTCTCACCTGTTTTATCCCAAATTCAAATCAAAAGGTTGAGGGAAGGAATGGGAATATCTCCACCTAGTGGTCAGTATGAAGTCACGTTAATAAAATCAAATTAAAGAAACTTTGACAAAGTATCATCGAGTTTACATAATTAGCACAAATCTATATAATGTGCTTTAATTAATGTTTACTTAGATGTTAGCTACTTAAGTAAAAATAAAATGTAAATATTAATTATTAGAATTTAAAGTGAAAATAATAGGAGAACATGTCCATGTCATTGACTAACCCTGACATTACATTAGTACCTACACTTACCACACTGCCATATGTTGACAGGGATGTATTACATATTTCAGGTGAAGGAACCATTTGAAGCTCAATTATTTCTTTGCTCTGTTCTTTATAAGCTAAGCAATGGCAGGACTCTCTCATTTTGATCACTTATACAGTTCCATGCTTAGCACAGCGATGGGCACATAATATTGCCTCAGTAAGCAGTCCTTGAATGAGAAAATAAAAACATGATACATTTTCACAAAAGCATATAGGTTACAATAAAAGAAAAATCAAATAAATACAAACATCACACAGCCATAACATGGCTGGTACTATTTCAATCTATTTTGTTTTACTCTTATAAGAATGAATTTAGATTTAAAAGCATATACATAACTGCAAAAAGAAGCAGTCCAAGACAAATGTGAGTTATCTGTGTTTAGTGACTTCTTAGTAGATAATGAATATTTCTTTATCAAAACTCAAATCCGCACACATAAAAAAAGTTAAAAATATGTTAATATGGCTCAGATTAGAAAGAATATGGGGGTGCCTAGAGGGCTCAGTTGGTGGAGCGTCCAACTTTAGCTCAGGTCATGATCTCGCAGTTTGTGAATTCGAGTCCTGTCCAGGGCTCTGTCCTTACAGATCAGTGCCTGGAGCCTGCTTCATACTCTGTGTCTCCTCCTCTCTCTATGCTCCTCCCCTGCCCACACTCTCTTTCTCTCAAAAATAAATAAACATTACAAGAAAAGGAGAAGAAGAAAAAGTCTGACTGGAGGAATATAGTTATTTCTGGAAAATAGTTTATCTTCCCAGCATGGAGCTTAAATGTAGTAATTAATATCTTTGTGTTCAGGCCTTTCCTGGGGTAAAATCAACCTAATATTATTAGAATATTAGACAGTTTCTAAAAGGGTTTAAGAATTTTGGAGGTAAAGCACATATATCAATATAAAGAAATTACCCAACGCCAGTAAAGAACCGCAGGAGAAGCTATTGGGCTCATGTATCTGTTTTTGTTTGTTTTGTTGTTTAACATCTACAGTCTTATTCATGAGATGATGTAGTACTGATCCTCACATAAACTACTGATTTTCCAGTTTAATTGAAAATACTGTTTTTCTTCTCTTTATAGAAAGCGTCGTCATTCACCAGTTACGTATGAACTCCAGATGAAATGGTAAACCAAGCACATACTGGGTGTGTGTACTTCCTCTGAATCCCTGTTGAATGAGTAGTATTTCTACAATCCTCCATCATCACTAAGGTCTTCCGTGCTACTGATCACTACTGGAAATATTTTTCTACTTCCAGTGATTTTTTTTTTTGAGGATATAATGTAAAAGCTGAAAATGGCATCGCTGATAATATGAAAATAGGTAGCAAGAGAAATTCACTCTTTGTGTCAAAATAAATTTCTCTTCCTTTTGCAAAGCTTTCAGGTCCATGGGCATATGTTATGTAATTTATTTTTATAATACACTTTGTAACGTGATTTTTTCCTAAAGTGTTTCCTTATTCATAGTCTATGGCACATACATCTGTAGAATACACTGCCAGTTATTCAAAGTATTGGTACAGGTGCATTCAAAATGGGAACCTGTAATTATTTTCTTCTATCAATTTGTTATTTCTGAAGAAAAAGAAAGTACAACACTCTATATATTCAAAACATAAAATAGAAGCAGGAGATTCTAAAAGAGGTTTTATTATTGGTGTACAATGCTGTGTCTGCTCATGGCTCAACAGTAATCAATAACGTTGATTTAAGCGTTTAATTTTAAATACTTAGAGCCAGTTTTAAAAGTTGCCTTTTCTAGTGTTCTGTGCCAAAACCCCTGGATGAGTTGAATTTCATACAGAACAAATTAATAAAAGGAAATATATAAGTTTAACCAGTAAGAGTTATGGGAACTGCTTCGACTGACAGTTCAATTATATTTCTGTTTTCATTATTTGCTTACATTTACAGGACTTATATTAAGGACTGTGATATCAGGATATTTCTCACAGTCTGCCCAAATAAAAGCCTGAAAAATAAAAACTGACCTAAGTAATACCTGCATCTTTTTAAAAAAAATGGTAAGGTTTTCTTGATAGATAGGACTTGGATATATTTTCATAACTGCATATTGGTTGCAGAATATATTCTTTAAAGATAAAAGCTTAACATGCATTACTCAAATCTCAGTGTCAGAACTGCTGTCCAATTTTGGTTTATGGGAAAATGTGCATCTAAAGTCTTCTTGAAACCCCAATAATAGGTTTTTAAAAAAGACTGCTAATGTGGATATGCTCTTAATAAGGTCTTTAAAAAGATAACTTTAAAGGTAAATGAAAAGTTGACATACCAGTTTCTGAATGCAGAAATCATATATCATGTAACTCTACTGAGATTAAAGAAAGAATGCTTCCCAGTGTCACATGGATAACTAAAAACCATGCAAGCAACACTGTTGGCTCATTTCTCTGGTTGACAGGTTGTATCCAGGTTATAAGCCCATAGAGGCGAGTCCACACTGAGTCCCTGGAATAGAAAAATTAATTTGATTTTTTCCCCTTAGGTACCTTTGGAAGGTTTTAAGGTATACTTTGTGGAATTAGCAATCATATTTGGTAGATATTATAAATTAAATTATATTTTATGTAAAATTAGTTTAATTTTTATAAGTAAAAGAAATGCTATGGTAGCCTGTCCTACCTTGAATGATTGTGAAAGTATCACATATCCTTCAGAACTTTTGATTAATGATTAAGAAAACTAGAGTGTGTATGTGTGAAGATTTGAAACACTGTTGCTATGAGTTTTGTTTTCTGAAAATGTTTCTGAACTGTAACAGCATTTTCAATTAGAAAAGGGTTTTATCTTGTATTGTTATCTTTTTTGACACACAGTTAAGTTCCCTATTTGCCAATGGCTATATACATCTGATGGCAAAATATTCTGATATACCACAAATTAGCATTTGAAGCAAATAACTTTTTCTCAACTTGTGGGAATTTCATTAAGCTAACAGTGAAAAGGCTAGAGGATGAGACTTTACTTCTGGACTTTAATTTAAAATATTACAAGTAATGTACTTGGATCTGAAGTTTTAATTTCTCTTGTCTTTATAAAATTTGGTACCTGCGATGCAGAGTAATGATGGTGGTGCATAGTCACTTAGGTGGATGCTGAGACTTTTTCTGTTCATGCTGTGATTAAGTCCTCTGTGCAAACGTAAAAGGAATCTGAATGACAGATGAGTAAAACTAATAGAAATTAATATTGTATCCTTACCTAATGAATAAACAAATATGATCATAAATAGTCTTATCTCAATATCCACATCCAATTGAAAAAATTACCTCCATGTGTAATCCTGGAACCATCCCAGATTCACATAATTTCTGTATCTTTTCTTATAAGTAAATCTCCAATCAGCAATATGAAAGATAATCAGTTTTGAATGGAATAATTGTATTTTCTGAAATGATTCCAGTTTAAAGTACAACAATTGAACCAACTCATTATTTTTACCCTTTTTGGTAAAAGTATTTTTTGAAGTATCTTCTGGAGAGATTTTTTGAGGTACTTTCTGCAGACAGTGGATACATGTTCCAGATGATAGATGACTAGAAAGTTCACAAAATGTGAAGAAATAATTGTCTTTTAGGACAACCATAAAAAAAAAATCATGATGTGGAATACCTAGCTTAAGCATTAAAAAAGACACTAGTGCTATCAAAATAATTCACAGGTTCTACAAACCAGTGGTAGAGCAAGAGTAAATGTTGGATCAGACAATATGACAGACAAAATTTTAACAGTATCAGACAATATTTTGTCAATATTCTGACAATATCAGACAATATTTTGTCCTTTCTCTTTCTGCTGTGGTTGGATTTTCCTGGAAGTGAATAAAAAATGGCAAAAGTTGGGTGTGTGCATGAATCTGATGAGGAACAATTCTAAAAATAACAAAAATGCAAAATGGAAGTTAAAAAAAACCCACAACTGACACCTGAGGCATACAACTCCCTTTGGACCCCAGTGCCAAGCGCCTGCTAAAAATACTAATTAGAAGGCAAAGAGGGAAAACAATAAAAATTATTGTAATAAACTAAAAAAATTAGGACACTTTCCTAGAATAAACTTTGCTTAGTGACCACTAATATTTTATTGTCTTAAATTTTCAACATTTACTCCATAACTATATGATAACTGTGTTATATAGGAAAAATGCTGTAGATTAGTAAGTTCGAATAGAGATTTTTATAGGTGCCATCACAGAATACATTTATTTTTTGGTGGTGTTTTTTCATTTATATCATTTAGGTAATTTTGCCTTACCATTCACAGATGTTATTTTTACCAGCGCAGACTGTATGTAGATTTTGTTTAAAAAATATCAGATGTCAGCCTCTCCATTATAAGAGGCTTACATTGTGATCAGATATTCTTAGAAATCTTGCAGTTTAATGGATTTACAAAAGCAAAAAAGTGCATTGAAAATTTTTGGTGTTACATTATATTTTAACGGCATTCTCAGTTTTGTTTCCTTTAAGTACAAGAAGTTTATTATTTTTTCACTACAGCCAAGTGAATTTATGGGTATCTACTTGTCTTTTATATGAATGTAATATCTAGCTTTCAGTTCTTCACAGGTTATTGAAATTATTTAGCCAATTAAGATGCTCTCTTTGTGTTACTGCCAAAGTCAACCATGTTTATTCAAATCTCACTAGAGAGTGAGAAAAATAACAATTGTGATAAAGAAACATCGTGCAATATTCTTTTTTGAGTTGGAACATAATATTCATAAAATTAAAATCATTTAAAATGAATATTCAACCTTCACCTTCTTTTTATTTAAAATTGTTTGCTTTAAGATAGTTTTCACTTCTGCATTTCATGTTTTCTTAAAAATATGATGTTTTTCACTGTGAATAAGCAGAAGTGGTTCAGCAGATCTGCCAAAATGAGATACTTTTCCTCTTAGTTTCATCATAGTCTGATTCTTTAATAAGATGAAAACTGTAAGACACGAAGAGAATGACGGGTTATAGGGTTTCCCTCAGCCCATTTATCCTCACCAAATGCAATGTCAGTCAATATTCAGATATTACTCTACTGCCTTCTGCTGTCATTCTGAAGATAGACTGCTCAGTAGAGCAAATGCTCATGAGATTTTCCCAGCAATCCACAGCCCATTTTCTAGAGAGGCAGTTGGGTAATGCTTGCAGCAAGGTGGGACAGGGGGACAGTAAGGCTATTCTCTGGCCCCTTTTATTTATCAGCTTTGTGCCAGAAATGGTGGTCCATAGCCAATCTCTACTTATCTTTGCCTTATTTGGGACAAAGGAATGGCTTTCTCCTGTTTATTGTTTAAAGATGTACCTATCAAAAAAGCAGGCAAGGATGATGTCTAAACAAAGATGCTTTCTACAGGGAAGTTGCAGATGTTAGGGGTCTCGCCCATAAGGCAGCTCTGTGGCCCTTTTTCAGAGGAGTGAAGACCTTTCATGCACATGGTTTAAGAGCACTGGCCAAAAGTCATTGGTTTTGTGACTTCCCAGGAGAAGAAGGGTCTTAAGCTTTCTACCATATTTGCTTAAATGAATTTGTTCCCCCTGAGCCCTGGGCTAGGGTCATTTTTGTTTTGTTTTGTTTTTAACTGTTTATTTTTGAGAGAAAGAAAGCACGAGTTGGGGAGGGCCAGAGGGAGGGAGACATAGGATCCAAATTGGGCTCCCTGGGAGCCCAATGCGGGGCTTGAACTCATGAACCATGAGTGAGGTAGTGACCTGAGCCCAAGTCATACACTCAACCCACTGAGTCATCTAAGTGCCCCTGAAGTCACTTTTAATGAGCACCAGGCTATTCTTCTGTATAGAGAAAATGGAACAAGTTCCCTGGGCTCCAAGCATGTTTACAATAGGGCACATTGCATCATACTGGTTTTGTTTTGTTTTGTTTGGGTCTTTTTGCATGTCACTAAAATTTACTTTTGAAATTTATATTTAACAATATCTCAAGGAACCTATAAAAGATGTCAAGCTTTGAGACCTCCCTTCACCTGAGGCAACCCTCACTGACTGTGCAGCTTCAGGCATAGCAATCCGATCCACAGATAATGGTTGGGTCCCAGTTTCCTGGAGTTCCCAGATAACTTTTTTTTTTTAAGATAATCAGTCCTCCTTTAGTTTCCCCTTGCATTATCTTCAGCATTTCTTTCAGAGATAAGCATCTCTAAGGAGAAAATATCTCTTTCCCTTTCTCTTGAGGAGTCCATTTTCCAATCTTATATTGCCTTATATCGACTGGCATTGGTGTATAAAGTTCTTTCTCCAGTTGGACTATAAGCTTCTTAAAGACAGGACTTGCATATTCCTCATAGTGAATCTAAGGTACTAGATAAATGTTTGCAAAGGGCGATATAATTGCTTCTAGGGAGAGGCCTTTTCCCACTCTTCTTCCAGCTGCCCTATCTCCTTTCCCCCAATCTTCAAAGACCTTTTCCATGACCATCACCACATTCTCATTTTTGGTTTCTAGAATATTCTAGGGCACAATTCTTTCTCCTCTTTGACAGCAAGACATATGTTTAGGTGAAGTGGCAGGGCGTTTTGTAGGCCCTCCATTACGGACTCATCCTCCAAGTGTTAGTTCTCTAGGACTTTTCCTCCAAGTGTTAGTCCTCTAGGAGCAGTACTTTAGCCAAGGTATTCTGTGCCAGATATTCCTCACCAAATTATTCTGGCTGCTGATCTTTCCCTTGTAGAAACCTCTGTGCCCACGAAGGTGTTAGATGCAGAGTTTAGATCCAGAGTATTAAGCCAGAAAAGACTCTCCATCACTGATCTTAAGGGAAGTAAGGCTCTCTGCAAAGACAAAGGGCCTTGTCTTATCAGACTACATATGGCCTATGCCATTTTAACAAGAAAAGTGTGTTCAGTCATTTTCAATTCACAAAGAGGTCAAGCATTGGTTCCCACATGGCGCATTGTTGCAAGTAGATAAGTGGGAGGAATGGACCATATAAACTACCAGAGTATTTCCCAAGTATGGAGGGTACCAGAGATCTTGGTTTCCAGGGAAGCAACCTAAGCCCCTGAGAAAAAGCACATGATCAGCTAGGGTATGGAGTCCTACAAATCATTAATAATGAGTGTAATAAAAGGTTCAACTTTCCCTATGTTTTTAAATTTTTGATCCTATTTTTTCCTGCACGGAGAGCCATAATGTCACTCAGACCTTAGGACCCACTTCCTCACAGTTTAGCTTTTGACATCACAAAGAGGATGAGGTGTGGCATCTCCTATAACCCCTTGTGCACACGTCTCATGTGGCACTGGCCTCATCATATTTCAATTGTTTGTTGGCAAGATGTCTCTCCCACTAAAATGTGAGTTGAGAATAGGTCAGGTTAG